ATGCAGAGTTCTGCTTTGCTCCCATTGAAAGGGAAGTGGGACTTCGCCAGTGGTCTTTGTGTTTGAGAATCAATGTAAGTGGTCTGCTCCTGAAATTCTCTCATCTTCCTTGTGATAGTTAATCTTTGCTTTTGTGGTGTTTTCATGGAATCTCTCTGCTCCTCTTCGTATACCCAGGCCATTAAATTAAATTAAATTAAAGAGAAGAGAATTATTTCCAAAGACCGGCACCTACTGTACACATAGACTGAAGACACTATTCATTAAGACCTAAATTTACTGTTTGGCCTCCCCTGATTGGTTGCTTTCCTGTGCGTGGCCCCGCTGGTTTTCTCCGTGTGTTGGGGTTTGGCCGGCGTTTTTTTCTCCGGTTTTTTGAGTTTGGGCCGGATTTTCTGCGTGGTGCTTTGCGAAGCTGAGCACGTTGCCCGTGGAGGTCCGATCCTTTCCTCCTCTTGCTCTGGCTGTCTTTTCTCGCATACCTTCTTCTCTCTCTGGGCTTCTGATACGAGACATGGATTTGGCTCGACCCTCCTTGAGAAAGAAATGGAAGGTCAGTTCTTGGTGGTGGTCTCGAGACGAGAGAGGACTCAGAGGAGACAGGGATTTGACTCGACTCTCCTTGAGAAAGAAATGGAAGGTCAGTTGTTGGTGGTGGTCTCGAGACGAGAGAGGACTCAGAGGAGAGAAGTGGCTCCAGTTCCTATCGTGCTTTTCTCAATGTTATGCTTTCAAATTCTTTGAGTGGAAATGGTTTTTGCTAATTTTTTGGGTGCGTTTGGAGCCCACGAGTAATTGCGTTCTTTAGTAGGATTAGAATCCACTCTTACTATTTGTTGGCATTCTTCTCTGTAATGTATTTGAATGGCGACCCATGAATTATTGCATGGTGGCAGAATAAGTGTTGCCTTTGCAATTGCTACTATTTTGAATATATGTATAGAGAATTTCACTTTGATCCTTCTATGTTTGCAGATGGGGTGCTTTGAACGATAGGGGAGATGGTTACATTTGGTGGGCGGAGGAACAGTCAGAGCTAGGAAGTGTTAGTGTATCTAATGAACCTCTTTTGTACAAGGAAAGTAGCTAAGTTTTTGTGAGAAGGAACAAAAAGATCTATGTATAATTAGTGTACGTAGTGTAATGGTGTTGTTTATGTATTTTTATGATGTCGAATATAACGTTGATTGCCTTGGTGCACATCTCTCTCCCATGTCACTTATCTTTTGTTTGATATTAAGCTTTTGCAAGTACAAGAGGTGCACTATTGAGTAGCTTGCGTGTTGAGTTTTTCCAGTGTTGTTCATGGATCAATGGCCAAGGTTTCTATCCGATTATGGGTTACAACGATTTTAGAATGTAGGCAAGAAAAGAGGAGCAACCAGTTGATGGTTGCTGTTTATTTTAACAAGAAATTGCAGGTGGAAGTCACTGCTTTAATTTGAAATTTGACATGTTCCAATATGTTGCCTAATATAGATGTTTGTGGATAGTCATCTAAATATCAGAACAAACTGACCCTAACAGCACCAAATTTGAGGAACATAGCCATAAATGAGGAACCGAGTACAGCCCATGTTCTAAATATACAACAAGAGCAAACTTTAGTTTAATTGTGTGGTATCACCTGGACCATTGACAATGTTAAAAATGAATAAACAATAACAAACTGCGGTTACATGATTAAAGTGTTTTCGAATGAAACATTTGTGTTTTCTCAATTTGCTTCAAGCCCGGGCACGTGTAGATAAATATAAATAACGGGCCCTCTTTTACGATATATAAGTAGATATATGAATTGGGCCCAGTATTCTCATATTTAGCCCGAATAGGAGATGCCTTTGTGCTTATATTAAGTTTCTATAGCTTTTGGGAAGCCCATTCTATAATTGTTCGGTCCATTAGGGGAACAATTGATAGCCCATTGAATATTAAATTTATGATTTTATAATGGTGGTGCGAAAACGTTTTGGGGACCAATTTCCACCGCCTTTTCATTTCGGTTCTGATTCTGCCTTTTAACTTCCCCTGTTCTCTGAACTTCTTCTCCCACGAACTACAGTGCTTCGCGACTTCTAGATCAGGGATAGTCGTGTATTCATGGGGTATGCTCGCCGATAGTTTTCCCTTTTGCATTCTGTTTCTTGACACTTTAACAAATTTTTGATCTTCCATTGTCTTTCCATATCAGGCATCGTTGTATAATGTCGCATGATTTCAAACTTCCAACTCTTCCACGAGGTATCGGCTCCGTTGCTTTCTGTTTCAAGTTTCTATTTATTGGTTTATGAATGAACACTGCCGAGGTGTGAAGTTTTGGGGTTTTTCTTTGTCTTTCGTTTGCCACAGACCCAATTTCCACATGCATGGTGTTTCGTGGTCTACGTGTGGGTGCTTATACTGATATTATGATCATTCGAGTTCTTAATGTATGGATTGAGCATGGTGATGACTCTCAGGGACATAAAAGAACAATGCATGTGCTGTGTCTTGACAAAGAGGTCTGTCATTCGTCTCTATAATGTAATATTTATTGTTTATGTTTGATTTTATTGTAGTAATGCACTAAATCACATTTAACAGGAACATATGCTAGAGGCCTGTATTGAGGAAAATGCCATTCAAGAAATGCAACATAAGTTGAAAGTAGGAGATTTACATGTCCTGGATGGCTTTCATGTTATTCCTGCGAGGAAAAACAGGCGTGTTGTTCCCGCTGAAGTTCGCTTTGCCTTAAGGCGTGAACAGATCATATTTTGTGTGCCTGACAATCCGGGTTATCCCAAGTTTCCTGTCAATGCTTTTCTGAAAACTTTGTTCTCGGCTATTCCAATAGAGGCAGAGGCAGTTGTGAATTATGGAGGTATCTTCCTCGAAAGTTGTTTTCACAAAAAGTATTCATGATTATTTGCTTACTATGAATTGAATTGCAGATGTTACAGGTTGCGTTGTTCATCTGACGATTCCAGAATTTTCAAATAATGGTGTTCTTAGGTTTGAGCTCATCATAGAAGACAGCAGGTTTCTTGCGTATTCTTGTGCTGATTTTTGTTTGTTAGACTTTATGTGGGATTAACTGATCTTTTGCTATTTTGTATAGAGGGGACAGGGAGACAGTGTACTACTCTGGAACTGAAGTTACAAAGTATTTGGAGTTTGCAGGGGAATATGAAGCTCGACTTCCTCTCATTACCACAGTTACTGCTGTTACAAGGTTGCCAATTACAGATGCCACTAGAGATGCATATGTATTTCAATCTTCAACTGGAAGTCGTCTGATCATTGCTTCTTACAATCACCATTATGAGAAAATCATAAATAGGTATTATTATATTCGAATTCTATGTTTATATATTGACAGACCTGCTCTGTTGGATGCTAGAAAAACAATACGTACATTCTTTTTGTTGTTTAGGTTCATAGGTGATCGAATGCCAGTGACTTACATTAATAGTACTTCTCGCTGCTCTATTGGTTATCTTCGTGGTCTTCTTCCTCCCAAAAGAACCCTCAAGCAGCTAAAGGATGATATAATGTTCCATGCACAGACCTATCAGGTATATGTATGATTTTTGTTGTTTTGATTGTATTGGATAACACATATCCCAAATATATAGTCATATCTTTTACCTATTATAACACAAATTCCTTCCTTCAGGCTCTCTATCGTTGTATGCTGGAAATGACAAGATTTACATACGGTCCAGAAGTCTTTAAATCATGTTCAGATTTTCCAAGGTATGATTCAATTTTATGTTTTGCTAATAATCTGTTGTCCATTGCATTTCAGGAAGATCAAAACGTTCCTTTTATTGTTTAATTCAGGGTACGATATGAATTACAAGCAACATGTGAGTGTGAGGGAGAATATGTTGATGTTGTGTTTGATCATGAAGCTGTGTTGGGCTTGGTTTGGGTTTCACCGGAGGAACTTTTCAGTCTAACCTATGAAGAAGGATATCAGTACATTCAAGACAGGTGTTATGTGCCTTTTATGGCTGAAGCTTATGTTGCCTCCTGGGACTTGAGAAAATCCTCCTGCAATCCGAATTGCTTCAATCTGGAACCCTAATGCTTTTGTGTGATTGGAAACTGTTCTACATGGAACTTAGTTTGTCGGGACGGCTTATTTATAATTATGTATGTTATCTATTCAGGACATGTTGCTCTGTTTTCTGTAAAAAAAACTTAATGTTTTCCCCTAACTACTCTGGTATTTTGGAAATTCACCAATGTACTCACTTCGACAATTTGCTAGCCGCTGGTTATTCTGTTCGGTCCATATGGAGGTCCCTGATGTTTGTACCTCAATAGTTTAGAGAGGTGAATGTTTTGTTTTGATCATGAAGTCCCTGATTGGGCACATGGAGAAACTACTTTCCGCCTTTAATATTGTATCTACCAAAAAAACTAGCAGGAGACATTGTTTGCGTTTTGAATTCTGGGCAGGTTCTTAATGTTCTTCCTGTTCTTGCAGAATGACACAATAGAATATTTTATCATGCTCCTTTGATCGAACTTTTAAAAGAACAAACAAATAAATTGTTCACCAAACGACAGACTCCTTAACGTTTTGCAAGACAACAATTTTGGGCCACAAATGAAACTACACCTCCCCTGCCAAATTTAAATATCGGCCCACATAAATGGTTTGGCCCAATTTCACAACGTTGACTAACATTGTCGAACCTCAACTATTTGCGAATGGTATAGCAGAAAGAACATGAGAAAATCCACAAAACAACTGGAGTCAGACTTACCCGCCGCGGAGCGCGGGCCAAATACTAGTAGAGAATATAAAAGGGCATATGCATGAAGATGAGCGTCTGAAGTCCATGTGCGTTAGCGTTACGATCAAATTGAAGAGTTGACCGGATGGAACTGCCGTTAATAACCGTTATAGCGGGGGCCGGCCAGCGCAGAAACTGATGGCGGAGGAGAGGGACATCACATTTACGAACCCTGTCCCCCAACGTGGCGTCAACACTCACCGTTACTCCCACGGCCGGGGATGATTTTATTCGTAGAATAATTACATTTCATAATAATAAAATCAAAGTTTCCAGAATGGGCCCAAATTGGAATTTTCTCGGGCCAGCACAGCACAGGAGAGATCCCTTTTTTTAATTAGTGAATCAGTTTGTTTTTAATTTTTAAAATTCAATTCTTTTCTTCTTGAACTCCGTCGCAAATCTTCTCCCTCACGACGATCCTTCCTTTTCACCTTCCCCTTCCTCTCTCTTCCTCTTCTCTTTCTCTCTCTCGAAATTGCTCTGTTCCATTAAACCCTGAATTACAGAACCTTTTCCAGTGTGAGATCCGGGAGAAGCAGAGAAGAAGAAGAAGAAGAGTAATCGGATTTCGAGCCCAAAAGGAGCTGCCGGAAAAGATAAAGGAAAAGAAAGGGGAGGAGGAGGAGAATCGCTCAAAGGGAAAGCAAAAGTTGGGAGATTTATTAGAAAGAAGCTCGTTCAGCGCTTTGCTTTCTTTCTCCCGTTTTGATTGATTCTCCTCTCCTTGGGGGTTTTTTTTTTCCATTGAGGGAAGGCGAAAGCTTTCCCTTTTCTTCAAAGCAGATGGGTATTGCTGTCGGCGGTGATGCGTTAAGGGTTCTTTGCCCCTGCTTTTCTGCCAAAACTGCAAACCAAAGGTCAGTACTTTCGTGCCCTTGTATGTATGTACATGTATGGATACAAGCCAATTTATGGAGTCTCGGATGATGGTGAATTGTATTTTATATTCTTGCTTTGTCGCTACCTTTCGCTGGTTTGAAATTTCGGGTTTCTGTTTCCTTTACCCCTTCTAATTGCAGGAGTTTTTTTTTTTTTTTTTATAGCTTTGATTATACTGAATTTGCTTGTCATTTCGTCGGTTGAATTGTCTGGCTTCTTTTTCCCTGTACTGTGATGCTTCGTATGCTCTATGCTACCGCCAAAAGCTTGATTCTAGATGAGTTTTAGAGACCGTTGGTTTTAGTGTTGGAAGCATTGCTATTGGTCTCACATCCGTGGTTCTCATTGCTGTTTCTTTTTCATCTGTGGTGCTAAAGATTGTTGACTGTGGTGAAACAATATGAGGAGTAGACATAGGGCAAGAACTGGGAGCAGCAACACAGTTAGGAAAGATTTTCGGAATATAATGAAGTGTTTCTGCTCTGGACAGCAACTAGTAGCGGCGGATGAGATGGTACCTGGGTCGGGGGATACACCTTCGCCAAGGTATCACACAGCGAGTGCTCGTTCATCTAGAAGTAGCAAAAGTGGGGAGGCAGGCCTGAAACCAGATGCCAGCAACATAGAGGAAGCTGAATTATCCCTTCGAGGGCGTGGCTCCTTGAATAATGAGGTTTTTTTTTTCTTTTCCTCCTTTGTCTTACTTTGCTAAACACTTCATCAAAATATTCCCAGCTTCATTTGATTTTGGCGCACGGCTTCCTTTAATTTTGCTTACAAACTTGGTAGGTTGTTTCGTCAATGTTTGCTGTCGAACTGTCAGCATACAACCATCCTACTGTATTATGTGTTTTGTTGTTTGCAATTTGCTATGTAATATGTTGTTTAGCATGGAACAGTTTTATATGTATCCTGTTCTTGATTTTACTAATTTGGCTTACAAATTCCGACTGCTGGATTTTCTTTTCACGAGAAATGAAAATAAATCGAACTTATTTTTTGCATGCTTATTTCGATTGAGTGAAAATCTTCTTACTTCTGATACCAACACCATTGTACTTTACAGGAAGCTAGAGCATTGTTAGGGAGAATTGAATATCAGAAAGGAAATTTTGAAGCCGCGTTACAGGTCTTTGAAGGTATAGATCCTTCTGCAGTCACTCCCAAAATAAAATCTAGTATTGCCAGACAAGGTGATCAACATAGGAGGCCATTACAGAATTACAACAGCCCTCCTTTGTCTATACATGCAATCAGCTTGTTGCTGGAAGCTGTATTTCTGAAAGCTAAATCGTTGCAACATCTCGCAAGGTTTGAAGGTACCTTCATTTCACTGGCTATCTATTTTGTGGATTCTTCGTCTGTAGAAATAATGTTGCGCGCACATCAATTTCTTCTTTAGATTTGCACAGTGGATTAACAGAAAATAGATGGATCATTGAATTGCTAATATATTATTCACACTTATTCTTGCAGAAGCTGCTCAATCATGCAAAGTTGTTGTGGACATAGTTGAATCTTCTTTACCAGGAGGCTTGCCTGAAAACTTTGCTGCTGACTGTAAATTACAGGAGATTGTAAGCAAGGCAGTTGAGTTGCTTCCAGAATTATGGAAACATGCAGATAATTCACATGAGACAATTATGTCTTACCGACGAGCTCTCCTTTATCGTTGGAACCTTGATGTCCACACCACTGCAAGGATCCAAAGGGAGTTTGCAATTTTTCTTCTGTACAATGGTGGGGAAGCAAGTCCTCCAGACCTGCGCTCCCAGATGGGTAGTTCGTTTGTACCTAGAAATAACTTAGAAGAGGCCATATTGTTATTAATGATTCTGCTGAGACAAATCTCTCTTAAGAAGATTGAGTGGGATCCATCAATCTTGGACCATTTGTCATTTGCTCTCTCGGTATCTGGGGATCTAGTAGCATTAGCCAACCACATTGAGGAATTGCCTCCAGGAACAATCAGCAGAAGGGAAATGTACCATACTCTTGCCCTCTGTTATTGTAGTGCTGGGGAGGATATGGTGGCTCTAAATCTACTTAAGAAACTGTTGCACAACAGTGAAGACCCAAATTTTGTTCCTGGTTTGCTAATGGCTTCGAAGATTTGTGGGACGACCCCTCAACTTGCTGCAGAAGGTGTAAATTATGCCCGTAGAGCCCTTCAAAATGTGGACAATGGATGCTATCAATTAGAAAGCACTGCCAATCTTCTGTTGGGAATATCACTATCCTCGTGCTCGAGATCAGCATTTGCAGACTCCGAGAGGGTCCCCAAACAGTCCGAGTCACTTAAGGCCCTTGAAACTGCTGCCAAAATGACCAATTTGGAACACACCGATATTCTGTACCATCTCAGTCTAGAGAATGCAGAGCAGAGAAAGTTAGATTATGCACTTCATTATGCAAAGAAGTATGTGAAACGGGAAACTGGCTCGAGCGTCAAAGGATGGTTACTCTTGGCGCGGATCTTATCAGGTCAGAAACGCTTTTTTGATGCTGAAAATGTCATCAATGCTGCATTGGATCAGACTAGTAAATGGGACCAGGGAGAGCTCTTGAGAACTAAAGCTAAGCTACAGGTTGCTCGGCGCCATGTAAAGAGTGCTATTCAGACGTATACACAACTTCTAGCTGTCATTCAAGTTCATAATAAGAATTTTGCCTCTGGAATGAAGCTACATAAGGTTTGTGGATGAGTCTGATCACAGTTGTCGCCAATCATATTATCTTTCTATTGTTGAGTTGTTTCACCTTCAATGGAAACTTTTTTCCCTGGTCTTGTTGTATACTTTCTAATAGTTTCTCAGGATTTCCTTTAAATTGCTTTGTGCTACTGGTTATTTATTTTCTGGCAGACTGATGGAATCCCTGCTAGACAATTGGAATTGGAGGTCTGGCATGATTTAGCCTCTCTATACATAAGCCTATCTCGGTGGCGAGATGCTGAGGTCTGCCTTTCTAAATCCAAAGAGATTCAGTCTTACTCAGCTACTAGATGTCATATCACCGGTAAGTTGGATGCGTGACTGAAAAAACTCATGGATCCATACTTCATTATGAACTTCCATTTCAAGTGATAAAATCAGATCTCGAATTTTCTTCCTTATGCAGAGCTACTGGCTGTTGAGTCGATTACTTTTTAGTTTCCTTAGTGAACTGCCTTTTCCCCCTTGAACTCCTCTATAACAATGCAAACATCACAAGATATGCAGAAAACTTCTGCAGAGAAACAGTCATTCTTTCCGGATGTTATGCATGCGAGTTCCGAAACTTCGAAACTAACTTGGTTAGTCGTCCATTATTGCAGGCACCCTTCTGGAAAAGAAAGGCCTCCTAAAGGAAGCACTGAAGGCATTCATAATGGGGTTGAGCATCGACCCGGTCCATGTCCCGAGTTTGGTATCCACGACAGTTGTTCTGAGGAAGCTGGGCGGCGGATCCAATGAAATATTGAGAAGCTTTCTAATGGGGGCACTGCGGCTCGACAGATTGAATATACAGGCTTGGTACAACCTTGGCTTTGTGCACAGAGATGAGGGTTCCCCTTCATCATTGCTCGAAGCTGCCGAGTGCTTTGAAGCTGCCACCCTTCTTGAAGAAACCGAACCGGTTGAACCTTTTAGATGAAATCATGGGATGGTGCTGTAACACAGGAAGATGTAAGAATTTGTACCACCTCGTATATACACTGATATGATGACCTTCCCCACTGAGTTTTGGTACATAAAAATGAAATATAAATCGTGGAATAAAGAGTTCATTTTGTCTCTTGCCAACTCTCTTCTTTTCCATTTACCAAAAAAAAAAAAAAAACTCTCTTCTTTTCCTTCAAGGGGCACAATGACTTGGGAACTATTAGCATCCCTAGTCCCCACGAGTCGTGGAGACAAAGTAAACAATTATTTCTAGGGTTAATATTTTCGTATGGCCTAAACTTTGACCAAAATAAGCATCCTGGCCAATCTTTTCGATCTATAACATCTTGGCCCGAACTATACACCAAAATAAACAATTTGGCCAAATCCAACTTTTGACCGTTAACTTGGACGGTCAAACGCGTTGACCGTTAGTCAACACGGCATGTCACTGCCAAGTCAGCATAAAATATTTAAAATAATTCACAATTTCCACACATTCACTAATTTTAAATTATTATAAATTAAAAAAATCATCTAATACCTTAGTTAAACCAAAAAACGAAAAAAATTAAATATTTATCAGATCTTCTGACTTGGCACTGACGTGGCGCGTTGACCGTTAGTCAACGCGTTTGACCGTCCAAGTTAACGGTCAAACATCGGGTTTGGCCAAATTGTTTATTTTGGTGTATAGTTCGGGCCAGGATGTTATAGATCGAAAAGATTGGCCAGGATGTTTATTTTGGTCAAAGTTAAGGTCATACGAAAATATTAACCCTTATTTCTATGGTTATCTACACATAATATAATACACCGATGGGATAAACGGGAGCCCCATTTCAAATTTCCTGCAACGAGAGTGAAAGTAGGAAGGACATTTTGGTCTTCACACTTACTTTTTTTAATTCATTAAAAAGACATGTAGTGGGATTCGAACCATGACCATTTTAACGAAAAGTAAGGATCATAACCAATCACACTAAGTACATTTGTTGCATCTTTTTAAATTAAAAAGATATAATAGCAGAGAGGAAAAAACCCTTCCCCCATTTCAAATTTCCTGCTCCAGGAGCGTTTGTAGGAATGATAGAATAGGGAGTGTCAATTTTTTCCTCTTTCCTCTGTGGAACGGGCCAACTTACCGTACACATGCGGATTTAAACGGGTTCAAGAGTGTCAGTTTTTTCATTAAGCCCTTTTATTTCTCCGTGGTAATAAAATATATATGAAGAGATACTTCTTTTTATTGCTAAAAATAAAAAATTTAACAATAAACTAATGCATGGTATCTAATGGGCTAACCGCTAACCATAAGATAAAAGAGTTGAATTGGTTTGACCTACACGGGATTTGGCCATCAAGTAAAACAAATGAACATCATTGGTTTGACATTCTAAAACAAGCTATTTTCTCTGGCATAATATATTATGCTATTATTTTATATCTTAGTGGCTAAAATATAATGTATTTTAAAGTTATTCAATGGTTCAACCTCGACCAACCCAATTAGTCCAATTTTTATCATTTCAAATATATATTATATAATTATTTGATATCATAATGATCAAATCATAGTGTATTTTATAGGGAATCGTTTGGTATTTGTTAGTAAAAAACTAAACAGAAAGATCTATATGGTTATTTTAAACATTAAAACGATCCTAACATTTTCAGTTCCTTTTGAATTTCTATGGTTTTATTCCCGAATAAGTGATATGCAAATGGCAGTCATCTCTTTTCTTTCACTATTTTTTATTTTCAAATAAAAAGTTTAAAAATAAAGAATAATTAGAATTTGGCATGGGTCGGTCAAACAGGCTGCATTTCAAGTTTTGGCCCCTTTTGATCAAGTCTAATTTATAATCACATGGTTCCCTGATACCCGATAAAAATCTCAATCCAAACCAGTTTGGCAGGTGAGTCCGTGTTTACCACCATTTTCTAGGGATACGACAACGACGGTTCCTATCCCAAATCGTGTTGTTCGTTCTTTATTTCCTTAGATTTTATCATAGCCTGAAAAAAACCAGAAAGCACAATGACGACAAGATGTAAGTTTTATAAACCAAATTAATCGGCCAACGGGCCGAGTAAAAGCTAGCAACGATTGTGAGATGCTCATTTCCCGAAAACCGACGGGATAGGCGATTTTTTATTCGATTTTCTGGAATTCAGTTTCTATAAAACTTACTCCACCTCATCATATTACCAGAAACAATATTGTTTCACAAGGTAACAGCTACTTGATTTTGGTTCATAAGGCCGATTTTTGATTTGTTGCATCATTAATGTCTCTTTCCTGCTAAAATTCACTATTTTTATCACGTGTTTCCCAAAAAAACTATACAACAATAAGTTATACACCCCATTACATTATCAAATTTCATACCTCACCTTCCTCTAGGGATGAAAACAAAATCCGAACCCACGGGTACCCACCCTACCCAACTCGGTCAACGCGGGTAAAATCCGTGTTGACGGGTTTTGGGCCGGGTTTGGGTTTAAACCCGTTCAATATTCATCGGGTTGGGTTGGGTTTAGGTAAACCCGACCCATGGGTACCCGCCCACACCCATATAATTAATTTTCTCGATATATTTAATATTCTAAACAACTTATCTTATTTATGTTTGTGGAGACATGTCTAATTTTTTCTTTCTAATTGTGTAGAATGAAGTTGATGTTATCGAGTGGAGAGTGAAGAAACTTAATTGAAAGGAAGAAGATTTCAATTAATCATGTTATTTATGGATAATTTGTTATTTGCTTGAATTTTCTAGAATGGTATTTTATATATGGATAATTTGTATTGAGAGATTGATATTTGACTTTAATTTTGATAGCAACTTGTTATTGTAAATTTTTTAAGACAAAAACCTGTGGGTACCCATGAACCCGCGGATACCCAGGGGGTCGAGTTGGGTTTGAGTTTTTCAAACCCAGTGGATTTTACCCCGAATTTTTTTCACGGATAAACCCATGAATTTGGATTTGAATTTGGCAAAACCCGACCCAACCCGACCCATTGCCATCCTACCTTCCTCCGGCCAACTGGCCGGGGCCCACACTAGTATATATAATATACTCCTCTAATTTTATCAAACATACCCCTTTATAATTTGTTACACCAAACATACCCTTATACTTTGAAAAAAAAAGACATTCTATTAAAATTTGACAAAATAGAGCTGTATATCCACAACTATCAGGTTTGTGACAAATATATCCATAACTATCGAAATACACGAAATATCCATTTCCGTCCACTCCGTTAACTCCGTCAGTTAACTTGATGACTGGACAGACGGTGGATGCTTAGTTGGCGTGTTTCCGACCCCACTAAATGACGTGGATTAAAAGAGAAAAAAAATTTAGGCAAAATACAATTGTATATCCACAACTATTAGGTTTGAAACAAATATATCCACAACTATCGAAATAGACGAAATATCCAAAAATCGGATGGTTGTGTGACAAATCTATCCACTTTCGTCTGAAACTATAACGTCGTGTCAGACAGCGTTAAATTGAATAACGAATGTCAAATCGATGTCATCTCACATGCCACATAAGCCAAAAAGTAACCAAACTTTACACCTTTATCTGTTAGACCTCGCTGTTGCAGTCTTCTTTGTTGGCGATTTGGTTAGATTCAAGCTTTTTTTGTTTGAGATTCAAGCTTGGTATCACCATGGCGCCGACTGCATTGAAGCCGTCGGAGTAAAAGGGAGGCAATGGTTGGGGATTGTGGTAGGGTTAATTTGGGTGGAGGCGTCGATCGGAGGAGGATCAGTGGTTATCAGGCGTGTTTCTGGGTTGGATTTTTAGTCTCGCCGTCTGTGGTTTTTAGGGGTTTTTTTAAAAAATTCTCTTTTCATCCATGTCATTCAGTGGGGTCAGAAACATGCCAACTAAGCATTCACCGTCTGTCTAGTCATCAAGTTAACTGACGGAGTTAATGGAGTGGATGTAAATGGATATTTCGTGTATTTCGATAGTTGTGGATATATTTGTCACAACTACCTGATAGTTGTGGATATACAACTGTATTTTGGCTTTATTCAACTAGCCTATTTGGCATCTACGTGTAAAGTTTGGTTGCTTTTTGGCTTATATGGCAGGTGAGATGGCATCGATTCAACATTTCGTTAGTCAATTTAACGCTGTCTGACACGCCGTTATAGTTTCAGACGGAAGTGGATAGATTTGTTACACAACCTTCTGATTTTTGGATATTTCGTGTATTTCGATAGTTGTGAATATATTTGTCAGAAACCTTATAGTTGTGGATATACAACTGTATTTTGCCTAAATAATAAATAATAATCAAGAAAAATAATAAATATACTAGAAGATAATAATAAATATTTAAAATAAATATAATAAGAACTATATAAACCCCTAATTTAATTAGAAGCGTCATTAGAAACAGTTAAAATAGAACCTAGTCGATCATCAATACATCAAGGCCAAAGAACGGTAAATAAAACACAATCAGAAAGAATTAAACATATTCCAGTAATTGAAAAAAATTAGAACGAAAAGAGACGAAAAGTAACCAAATTATAAATAAACTATAAAAGCTAACATTCAGTAACAAATGTAGAAAAGAAAATATAACTATAAGAAGTGAATTAGAATTAGTAAATTTAAATAATATGGAACATCTACAATATAATTTTAGAGCATTAAAAGGAGATTTAACATTTAAAATTATACAACATGATGTAAGAGAACTAAATATAATATCTTTAGGCTATTTATATTGAGATAAAATTCGTAGGATACATTTTCTTCAAGGAATTATTCCAACTAAATAAAATTCATATAATATATATGTGCTTCAATGAAGATTAAAAATACTTAGAATGATAATTTATTATAAATTTTCTATTCAAAAATTGGTTTGGTATCAAGTCTTCAAAAGAGGATTCCAACTAAACAATGAAAAATTATGTTTTTCATAAGTTCAAATGATTTTATTACAATAAAAAAAGTAGAATAACCAATTATAAAATTTAAAAAATGGAATATTTCTAGAATATTCTGTCAAATTTAACGGAATGCACTTAGCAGTAAACTTAAGTGGTACCGGATGCACATATAATAGAATTCAGTGGTACCCGATG